TATGGAATCAACCTAAGTGTCCATCAGTGGATAAATGAATAAAGAAAATGTGGTATTAATGTATATACACAATGAAATACTATTCACCATAAAAAAGAACGAAATTATGTCATTTGCAGCAACATGGATGGAACTGAAGGTCATTTTAAGTAAAATGAACCAGGCACATAAAGACAAATACTGCATGTTGTCACCCATATGTGGGAGCTAAAACACTTGATTTCATGGAGGTAGAGAAGAGAATGATAGATACAAGAAGGGTGTGAGAGTAGGACCAGGAAATGAGGAGAGGTTGGTGAATGGGTACAAACTTACAGTTAGAAGAAATAAGTTCTAATCTTCCATAGCAGCCTAGGGTGACTATAGTTAGTGACAATATATTGTATATTTCAAAGTAGCCAGAAGAGAGGACTTGAAATGTTACCAACACATAGAAATGATAAATACTCAAGGTAATGGATACCCCCAGTACCGTGACTTGATTATTACATATTCTATGCATGTAAAAAATACATGTACCCCATAAAAAGTTAAAATAGTATGTATTGATAAAATAAAAAAAATATATCCCTGGACTTTAGAGCTTTGTTGCATCTCTATGTTCTGTTGTTTCTCAAAGCACAGTTTAGCCTAAGTATTGTGTCTGCAGCTTATTTTTTAAGTATGCCACATTGAAATTTGAGGACATGAGGCTTACCAGCACTGCTCCTGCGGGGTCGACGATTGTTCTTTGAGCCTCAGGTGGACCTTATCCTCGGCAGCCATGACTCAAGAAAGAATGTGGGGCTGGATCAGTTCAAATTCTTCTGCTCTTTTTTGAGAAAAAAAAATATTTGTGCCCTTTTGGTGATGGGTCAGCAAAATGGGTTGTTGAATAGAACATCCCATTACAGGACATAGTAACAGCCCTCCTTTTCTTCTTTTTTAGTGTTTGAGATGTAAACCATTATGTTCTTCTTTTCTGATATAGTGGGTCCATGAGAATTGGAAAAGACTTTGTTCTTTTTACGAAAAAGGAAGAAACGATGACCTGTATGTTTTTTTCTCAGACATTCTGTGAAAGAGAAGGTCTTAATGAGGTAAGCTTTGAGGTTTTCCTTCCGTTCCCACAGCAACGGTGTTGCTTTCATTTACCATCTCAGGAGGTGAAATCTATCATGGGTTCTATCTCATATAATTTAGAAGTTTAGGAATATGTTTGGGTAATGGAGAGAAGGTGAACTCTGTAAGAAAACTCCATTTGCTGATCCAGAGACATTTTATTAATTTGCAGTGCCTGAGTTTTACTATTAGGAATGTCAGTTATAATTCAATGTAACAGATACATGTTGGGGACCTACTGTCTGCCCTGTACTGGATAAACGGCTGAGGTAGAAAACAAGCAGAAGATCATGTGACCATCAAAGAGTTTTCAGCTTTGTCACAGAGTAAGGCAGACACATATGAATTGGATACATAATAAAATGAGGGTATTGAGACAGAATGCTGTTCCATGAGTCTGTGTGGCTACTGTTCTCAAATTGTCAAAAGCAATGATATGGATGGAGAGATTAGAGAGCCTCAAATGACCAATGAGGATTTTATGGAGAGAGTATAAATTGTAGCTGGAAAGGCGGGTATGTGGGGAGGAATGGCCCCAGTGAGTCTCAGACCTGGACATGCAAGTGGGATTTGGAGGGACAGTGTGGAGGTGTGAGACTGCCAGGAGGGGTGGGGCTGGCTGACAGGAGCAGTCCATGGGTATCAAGGAGTAGTTGAATGGGAGCCTAGCATGAGAAAAAGTGGTGCTTTAAGCATTTATGTTGCATTTTATGGGTGTGAAGAGTGTGGAAAATTGGGCTAATGCTGAGTTATAGCTTTCCTAAAGTGGACCATTCCCTCTTTTTTCTAGCTAACAACAGCAACCACTTCTTATTTTCACTTCCATAGAAGCAACCTCTTGCAGCAATGTTAGGCTATTCTGTTAATATTTACTTGCATAACCCTAAGAAGCATGCTTGTGTTGCTATTTCTTGATTTTATTTAGGCATTTTCTATTAATCTCCCACTATAAAAGAGGATTTATCTATCCTTTTCCTCTGCTCCTATCACATATACACAGCCTTCCAGTCCCTCAGCCCCAACATAGCTCTATTGTATAATTTTGGTTGTACCAATATTCAGGATTTACTTTATAAGACTATATAAACACTATTCACATTATACCATGTTATAAGCTATTATTTTTCCCATTCACATGCAACTTTTTATTCCTCTTGGAATTAATAATTAACTGCTCACTTTTCTTTGTGCTTATCACTGTCACTGACTATTTGCTTGGTCACACTCCTGCTTCCATGGCTGGTGTTCAGCTGCCATCCTGGGATCTGCCCTTGCCATCGTTCTGGTGATTCCCTTCCCCTCTCATACGTGTCAGATCTCAGATTCTAAATCTCATGTCTTCTTTTGTAGCTTGCTCCCTCTTCTTGGTGTAGTATATTCTCTAGTAGCTTCCTGAGCAAGGTGCACAGGAGAGGCAAAATATTTTGAGACTTCACATGCATTAAAATGTTTTTATTCTGCCCTTACACTTAATGATAGTTTGGCTTGGTATTGTTTCTAGGTTGGGATTCATTTTCTTTCAGGATTTTGGTGGTATTATTCCATCATTTAGTTTCTAATATTATTGAGGCAGCTGAAGCATTTTAATTCCTTAATCTTATATGTGACCCATTTCTTATTCCCCTTCTACTTTTTGAGGGTCAAAAGAATCTTCTGATTTCAATATTTTGCCAGTGTGGTGTCTGTTTACATCCATAGGTCATTTGTTGGATCTTTTTAATTTGGAAACTCATATTCTTCAATTCTGGGATTGTTTCTTGTAACATTTTATGATTTCCATCTATATTCTCTCTTCTCTCCATTTGTGACTCCTGTTTTTTATAATAGCTCTTGGACTTCTAGAAATGGTTCTTTAATTTTCTTAACTTTTCTCTCCAATTTTCTGTCTTTTCATATTTTTGTTTCTTCTGGGAGATTTTCTAACATTTATCTTTGAATTATCAAATTTTTTTCTATATTCTTCATTTACAAAAAGTCTTTTTTATTCTCTCAGTGTTCCTTTTTCAAAGCTATCTAATTCTTGTTTCATAGATAAAGTATTTTCTCTTAAAGCTCTCAAGATATTAACAATGATTGTTTTTTTTTCCCCTCTTGAAATTTTCGTCTTCCTCTTACAGTTAGCTTCTGCTGAGTTCCTTTGTTTATACTTGTTCGTTTGGTCTCTGTTTATTAGGGACTTTTCTTAGATGGCTATTCATCCTGAACACTTTAAAGATTGGTCCAATAAAATGCGGAGTGAAAGCTCTGAGAGTATAGGTGGGGCTTGGCAGCTGTGAGTGTCATAATAATATGATCTAACTGGGATGTTTTATTGGAGAATCCCTAATGTAATTGTCTTTAGGTCTTTCCTTCTTTGTTGGTCTGATTTCCCAGAGAGGACTCCTACAGTCTGTTGCCTGAAGGCTGACCTGCCTTCTGGGAGACAACTGGGAGGAGAGGAGCCGGAGTTCTCAGTGTCTGAGATGTATACTTTCACTCCCTCTAATCTCAATAAGGTGCCCCAACAACAATGCCTGGTATGTCTTCTAGTCCAGAAATGCAGTTCCTCTAGTCCAGAAATGCAGTTCCACTCTTTCCAGAGAATAAATATTCAGGGTCTGTGGGGATTGGGGAGGAGCTGTTGCCAGGTGAAAATCTAAATGCTACTTCTAGCTCTCTCCCCTCCTCACCCCACCTCTAGAGTTAACTCATGCCATCAGTCTCTGAGCCTTTTGGGGAGGGATTCTGAATTGTAAATAAGACTGGCTTTTCTCTTTTCTGGCATGGGTTTTGAATTGCTTTTCTTGGATATGCTGTCATATGCTTTTCAACTTCTAAAACACTGATTCTGTTGTTTCCTCTGTCATTCTACCCATCTCTCAAGAGGAAGGTGAAGTACATTCCATCTGTCCCCACATTCCACAATGGAGTATTTTAAAATAAAACCCTGTGTATACACATGTGTTGTGTGTCTCTTCCTTGTACAACTAGGATACAGGAGGAAAATAAACTCTTAACTTTGTGTTTTGTAATTTGGATGAAGAGTGGAATGAATTAGGATTAGACAAAAAACGATGGGTTTGTATAT